AAAAAAAAAAAAAAAAAGATAGCTGTATTCTCATGTTTGTTGCAGCATTAATGGCAATAGCCAAGAAAAGGAAACAACTTAAGTGTCTATTGATGGGATGGATGAATGGATGAAGAAATTGTGGGAACACACATACGTGTATAATGGAATATTGTCCATAAAAAAGGAGATTCTGTAATTTGCAACAGCATGGATGAATGTACAGGACATTATGCTAAGTGATAAAAGCCAGACACACAAAGAAAAATACTGCATGAGCACTTACATGTGAGATTTAAAACAAACAACAAAACAAAAGCATAGAAATAGAGTAAAACAGTGGTTGGGAAAGGATGAGAAGATGTAGATCAAAGAGCACAAAGTTTCCGTTATGTAGGGCGAATAATAAGAAATGTAAAAAAATTAAGGCTGTAGTTAATAATATTGTATCTTGCAATTTGTCAACTGAGTAGCTTTTAGGTATTCTTACCACACACACAAGATAGATAACTATATAGACTAATGAGTATATTCATTTGTGTAACTGTTGTAATCACTGTGTATATCAAGATAAGCATATCAGAATATCATGTTGTATACCTTAGATACATACAATAAAAATTAAAAGGTAAAATTTAAAAAAATCAATTGGAAAAGTAAATCAATGAGAAGATCTAGAAAAATAGCCAGAAAGCTTCATTAAACTTCAAAATTTCTTTTCTGGTATTAATTGAGATAACATTTTTTACTCTCTTGTATAGGGTATTTGTGAACCGAAGTTTAGCCATGGAGAAAATAAAGTGTTTTGGTTTTGATATGGATTATACCCTTGCTGGTGAGTAGCAATTTCTAATTGGTTAAGAACTGCTGCTTTGAATATAACATAATGGGTCTGTAGTAGGCAATTCAGTACATGCTTGTTGATTTAATTATATATATACATATATATATATATATATATATAGCTTCGAGAAACTTGTTATTAAGCTTTTTCTCCTGAGATTTGTGAATATTGAAGTTATCAAATATTCTTAAGATTTGGTTCATGAGTTTGTATAGATAGGTAGAATAAGTACAAATAATATTATTTTAGAGACCCTGATAAGGAAGACTATGGTAAAATTATGCATTAATGGGCATATTTGGGCACTTTAACTTTTACTCTATTAAGCTGTTCTTCTGGGATAAATTTTGTATCTCTCAGTTTCCAAGGTAAACATATCAGGTAAAAATTTTAATACATTAGTTTTTTGGCTTTTTTTTTTTGAGACAAAGTCTTACTCTGTCACCCTGGGGTTGAGTGCATTGGTGTCATCCTCTTGCCACAGCCTTCTAAGTAGCTGGGACTACAGGCATATGCCACCATGTCTGGCTAGTTTTTCTGTTTTTAGTAGAGACAGGGTCTCACTCTTGCTCAGGGTGGTCTCAAACGTCTGAGCTCAAGCAGTCAACCTACCTCCACCTCCCAGAGTACTAGGATAACAGGAGTAAGTTACTGTGCCTAGCCTAATATGTTATTCTTAAGACAAGTAGAAAATATCATTTTCAATTAAAATGATTATACACATAATACATATAAGGTTTTTAAAAAACTAGAGCTATTGGCTCAGCGCCTATAGCTCAACCGGCTAAGGCGCCAGCCATGTACACCTAAGGTGGCAGGTTCAAATCCCCAGCCCGGACCCGCCAAACAACAATGACGGCTGCAACCAAAAAATAGCCAGGCGTTGTGGCGGGCGCCTGTGGTCCCAGCTACTTGGGAGGCGGAGGCAGGAGACTCGCTTGAGCCCAGGAGTTGGAGGTTGCTGTGAGCTGTAATGCCACGGCACTCTATCCAGGGGGACAGCTTGAAGCTCTGTCTCAAAAAAAAAACAAAACAAAACTAGAGCTATTGATTTTATCATCACATAGTCTTTAAACACCACACTGAACTATTTTTCCCATCTTCCTGTCTTTGAGATATATAATAGAACCTTCAGAATTGACCACCTCCTTAAATTGACCTAATTTTCTTTTCTTTTTTTTTTTTTTGAGACAGAATATCACTATGTTACCCTGGGTAGAGTGCTGTGGCGTCACAGCTCAGAGCAACCTGAAACTCCTTAAGTTTAAGTGATTTTCTTGCCTCAGTCTCCCAAGTAGCTTGGGACTATAGGCACCCACCACAACACCCAGCTATGAACCCTCCAGCTCTGGTGTATGTGGCTGGTGCCCTAGCTGTTAAGCTACAGGTGCCAGCCAGTTGACCTAATTTTCATAGACCAGATAATACACCACATATATGTATCAGTTCAGCAGGCCTACTTTCTTATGTTGGCCACTTTCCTATGTTGACTAGTTTGTTATAGTCCCATGGTGACCAACTTATGAGGGTTCCTACTATATATTTCAAATAATTAATGTATTAGTCAATAATTATAACGTCTTTTCAGAACTTAGTAAGTAAAATATTTGTGGTCTGATGAAAATATCATTTGAGAAGTAGTAGGGATGAGAGATCTAGTTGACCATGTATATATTCAAGTGTACCTGTATATTTGCGCATATGTGCAACCATGACAATTCAGAAAATCTTTTTTTTTTTTTTTAAGTCAACCATTGTTTTTTGGCAGATTTTGGCTGGGGCCGGGCTTGAACCCACCACCTCCAGTAGATAGAGTAAGTGCCCTACTCCTTGAGCCATAGGTGCCGCCCCAGAAAATAATCTTTCTGAAATTACCTCTAAAAATTTTTGTCTTTAAGTACACAAAAAATCCTTAAAATTGTGTAAAATCACTTATCTTTGGAAGTATTTGTATAAATAACAATGTTAAGAAAATCAGCTTCTATCTCAAATTAGATAAATCTCAATTTGATGTTCAATTTAGATCACAAATGTAAGTGAATTAATATAAATGTACAAAATTAAATATATGTAAGTACTTATCATATAGATGTGGCCATGATTTTTTACCAGTTTATTAAAAATATACATAAATAGGCTTAGAGCTCAGTGGCTAGGGTGCCAGCCACATACACTAGAGCTGGTGGGTTCGAACCCAGCCCGGGCCTGCCAAGCAACAATGACAACTACAACCAAAAGATAGCTGGGCGTTGTGGCAGGCTCCTATCGGCCCAGCTACTTGGGAGGCTGAGGCAAGAGAATTGCTTAAGCCCAAGAATTTGAGGTTGCTGTGATGCCACAGCATTCTACTGAGGGTGACATAGTACTCCTCGTCCCCCAAAATATATGCGCACACACACACACATACATACCAGGTTTCCCCCAAAATAAGACCTACCCCCAAAATAAGCCCTAGCAGGATTTCTATGCATTTGTTAAATATAAGCCCTACCCCAATAATAATACCTACTGATGGGCGTGGCTATATTCTGCATAACCACCATGCATTTCGGTGCCAAGCAGTAAGGAAGACTGGACTACCTTTTATCTGCCACAGCTCCTTTCTCCTTTCAGGTTTCCCCGAAAATAAGACCTACCCCCAAAATAAGCCCTAGCAGGATTTCTATGTATTTGTTAAATATAAGCCCTACCCCAATAATAAGACCTAGTGATGAGCATGCAGATATGCTGCATAGCCACGCCATGCATTTCCGTGCCAAGCGGTAAGGAAAACTGGACTACCTTTTATCTGCCACAGCTCCTTTCTCCCAGCCGATCGCACTTGCATGGGTGTGTGTGAGGTAACCATGGTCGCAGGCATCCTATTGCTCATGTGCGAACAGCTAGGGGAAAGAAGTTCACATATCTCTAGCACCAGCCTCACCAACCTAACCAAGGTCGGCTCCCCAGACCGGTTCCAGAAGAGGATGACTTAACTGTATTTGAATAAATGTAGATTGTTGTATTATACTTAATAAAAATAAGACATCCCCTGAAAATAAGCCCTAGTGTGTCTTCTTGAGAAAAAATAAGTATAAGACAGTGTCTTATTTTCTGGGAAACACGGTAAATAGTCTTTGATTCAAGTTTTTCTTTTTCATCCATATTCTTTGTCATTTGTTTTTTCTATTGCCTTAAAGTTGTTTTTGCAGCATTTTAATTCTTTATAATTTACTAATTGGACGCAGACACTTTTAAGAGCCCTTGTCAGAAAGCAGGTGAAGGGGCTGTTCCTGTAGCTTAGTGGTTAGGGCCCTGGCCATATATACCAGGGCTGGCAGGTTTGAACCTGACCTGGGCCTGCTAAACAACAATGACAACTACAACAAAAAAATAGCCAGGCGTTATGGCATGCGCCTGTATTCCCAGCTACTTTGCGAGTTGCTTAAGCCTAAGGGTTTGAGGTTGCTGTGAGCTGTGACGCCATAGTACTCTACTGAGGGCTACATAGACTGTCTCAAAGAAAAAAAAAAGCCAGGCTCAGTGACTCATGCCCTTTATCCTAGCTCTCTGGGAGGCTGAGGTGGGTGGATAGCTTGAGTTCACGTGTTTGAGATCAGCCTAAGCAAAAAACAAGGGCTCTGTCTCTACTAAAAATAGAAAAAAAAAAAAAAAACTGAGACAAGAGGATTGCTTGAGCCCAATTTGGAGCTTGCTGTGAGCTATGACACCACAGCACTTAACCCAGGGTGACAGCTTGAGACACTGTCTCAATAAAAAAAAAAGAAGAATTTTATCTCTCCAGGGCAAGGAATGGTGAAATAACTTGATGGCAAAAAGAGTTGTTATCTAAAGCAGAAATAGAAGTTAATAAGGTCAAAAAGTGATGAACTTTTTTCCTTTGGTTATCAAGACAGTGCCATTATATTGAAATAGTTCAATAAGTATTTATTGAGAATCTATAATGTGCCCAGCACATTTTGTTACTGAGCATTGAGATAAGTAGATCTTCCCACAGAATAATGGAAAAATGAACGCTCCTATTTATTTCAAAAGTCACAGAATCTTAATCTCTTAGTTTTAATGATATCTTATGATTTCTTTTTATTTGCTTCTTTGGTGTGTTGTTGTAAGGTCACTTCATATTTTAATGCTTTCTCCTAATCTAGATACCAGTATTCTTTGTGTATATATAGTAGTAACGGTTAACATGTATTATGTGCTTATTATATGCCAGGTCCTGTTCCAGGTGCTTTACATAGATAGACACATCATTTAATATGGGGATTTAATATTTACAGAGATCCTACAAAGCAGATACCACTAGTATTATCTCCACTTTACAAATGATGCTAAGACATTAAGCATGTACTTTGTCCAGACATTTAGCTATGATATAGCTAAACCAAGAGTCAAACCTAAGCTTCATGTATATATATGTACATAATGCTTAAATTATCGTTTTGAATAATAACAATTTACAGTGAGATATTTCAAAGTAATAAGCACCCCTCTTCTCTTTAAATAAACCAGGACTTAAGCACTTAAAGAGGCAAAGCCCTTTGAGACTTCTCTTTGAGAAATTATATACATTATTCCATCAGTTCTTTGTTGGTGAAAAACATGGTTATGGTATTGTCGTCGCCTCAAAAAGCTCATAGGAAAACATGTTTATTGATTATGTATTCTCACATTTTCCAGAATGGTAGTCATTAAATTTAGCTCCTTACAGGAGAAGTTCTTGGAAAGAATTTGTGTTCTTTTTTGTTTTTGTTTTTAAGACAGAGTCTCAAGCTGTCGCCCTAGGTAGAGTGCCATGGCGATACCAAGCTCATAGCAACCTTCAACTTGTGGGCTGAAGTAGTCCTGTTGCCTCAGTTTTTTGTTTTTGTTTTTGTTTTTTTTTTTTGAGACAGAGCCTCAAGCTATCCCCCTGGGTAGAGTGCCATGGGAGTGCCATGGCATCGCGCTCACAGCAACCTCCAACTCCTGGGCTCAAGCGAGTCTTTGAG